CTTCGGCTGCCCAATCAGCAGAAAGGGGCGTTTAATTCCCGCCCACATGTAGAAATCGAATATTCAAGCTGTTTATTCATTTTTCCACCCATGAACAAAAAACGAAAATTTAAGCTGAATTCTCGTTTTTCGTTTTATGGAGAAAAAAAAAATGAAAAATGAAAAAGGAGCCATTTTCTTATTTTTCTACTTTCAATATTAAATAAAAAAACGAATGATCGAATGATGCACGGATTCAACACCACCCATCTTTTCAAAGATTAGATTAGGAATTAAATACCAAATTTTATTTTTATATTGAAAGTAATTTTTGATCCATCTGTTCTTTAAAATTGCATTTGATGTGCTGAAGTCAAACACATTTAAGCCTCCATTACCAACCAAATTAGTTAAGGTACCTTTTTTAATGTAATGAGATCTATTTCTCCAAATGAAATTGTAAAGATTTTTATCCACTTCTTTAATGATGTTATTAGGGACTTCTAGTGAAATAGCAGGATAGAGCAGACGAGATAAACATTCAGTTTTTGATAAAATAATTCTACCGTTCATTGACAGGTCTCTCATTAACCATAAATTAAATCGATTTTTAACTTTTTGAACCACAGGTTGAAAATTAAGCTGTCCCCTTTCCTTTTCATCTTTACATATTTTTATTCCTAAATAGGTAACAACATTCTTTACAGGGATGCCATTAATATCAAGAAGTTCACAATTTTTCAGAGGGAACAACTCACATTTGTTTAAATTTAATTTTAACCCTGAGACCAATGAAAAGTCATTCGAACAATCAATCACATTTTTAATTTCCAATGAATCTCTAACAAATATTGTTGTATCATCTGCTAATTGACAGCATTTTATTTCTCTTTCTAAAATCCGGATTCTGTGAAAATTATATTTGTTAATGTAAAGAGTCATTGTCTGGGTTACAAGTAAAAATAAAAAAGGAGATATTGGGCATCCCTGCCTTATGCCTTTCATGTTGTTCAGTGGACCAGGGGCGTAGATTACGCGAGGGACGAGGGGGATGTGTCCCCCCCACTTTTAGTATCACGTAAATTCGTCCCCCGCACTTTTTCAGGCAAGTGTGAATAAATACAGATTTAAATTTCAAAGAGACAGGATAGTCTATGCATGATCTGATGTTTTATTCGGACCCAGAATAAGGCAAGATGAACATCACGGAGCGCTAAACACTCCATGCAGTGTATGTTTCATTCATACTCGAAGCCGGAGTGCGCTCTCGCGCAGAAAGTCGTACGAGGAAATTCCTAATATGGACAAAAGCGTCCAGCTATCTCTGTATGAAAACAGTTGTTTTCAGAAAAACAGAAAC